TGCACCTTCCCACCCCATTTTGATACACGTATTTCCAAAGAAGGGTTTCAATCAAAACTAAGTTAACACGTACTGCCAAATTACAAAGATAATATAACAGATTGTAAAGGGAAAAGAAGTATTTTATTCACCTGTTTCCATTTAAACAAGGCAGGCTATAGCATTTCTATAAAGTATTTGCATGGAAAAAATTTGGGATTTTGAGGGTTTACTACTTACAGAACTCTGGTGTGCTGTGATATCCACAAAAGATACCTTCTTTTCTACAGATGTATGCTTCTGCAGTAAAAACAGACACAGGGGCCATTGGAATAGGACTGAGAACCCAGAAACAAACCCACACATATATGAACAAACCCACTCACATATAACAAAGCCATCAAGAGCCCACCCTGAGAAAGGCATGTCTCTTCAACAAATGATACTGGGAAAACTGGGGAGCTGGATGGAAAAGAATGAAAGTAGACTACTGCCTCACACCACATACGAAACACAACTCAAAAAAGGGTGAAAGAATTGGATTAAGGCCTGAAACCGCAAAATTCACGGCACAAAACAAAGGAAAAACAGTCCAGCAACACTGGTTCTGTGATGTCTCTGTGGGAGAAACACAAGAGGACATGAACAGAGGAGCTACAACAGCAGCAAAAGAAACTGTTACCGACACAGAGAGATTACCTACTGAGCGGGAGAAATAGTTATCTACCATGGATCCAGCAAGGGTCTGATAGCCCAGATCTTCAAAGGACACATATAACTCAACAAAAACAAAAAACCAACAACCCAATCAAGAAATGTGCAGAAGCCTAAATACACATTTCTCCAAAGAAGACATGCAGATAGCCAGCAGGGACACACAATCAAAACCACACGAGATACCATCTCACACCTTGAGACTGGCCCCTATCAAAAAGGCCAGTCACAAGTGTTGCTCAGATGTAGAGAAAAAGGAGCCCTCTTACACTGTTGGTGAAACTACAGACTGGTCTCATCTCTACCGAAAACAACACAGAGGTGTCTCAAAATATTAACAATAGATCTCCTATACACGATCTAACAATTCCAATCCTAGCTGTCTGCCCAAAGAATGCAAAAACAGTAATTTATAAGGGCTACATGCTCTCCTATGCTCACTGCAGCATTATTCATAGTAACCAAGTTACGGAAGTAACCTAAGTGCTCTAGGACAGATGAGTGGATTAGGAAAATGTTGAATCTATACACAGTGGACTACTAGTCAGATGAAAACATGGATGGAAGTGAAGGGGATAATGCTAAGCAAATTAAATCAGAAAGAAAAAGACAAATGCCAGATGGACAGAAAGGAACCCTCGTACACTATTGGGAACGTAGACTGATCCCACCTTCTGGAAAACAGTATGGAGGTTTCTGAAAATATTAAAAATAAGATCCGCTTTACAATGCTGCAATTCTACCCCTAAACATCTGCCTGAAGAATGTGTGAGAACAGTAATTCGAAGGGACATATGCATGCCTATAATCATGGCAGCACTGCTCACTGTAACCAGATGACGGAAGTGATCGAGGTGCCCTGGGCAGAGGCATGAATTAGCAAATGTGGCATACATACACAATGGAATATCACACAGCTATAAAAAAGGTGAACGCTTGCCATTTCTGACTACACAGACGGAGCTGCAGGGGATGATGCTAAGCAAAACAAGACAGAAGGAGAACAGCAAACACTGGGTGTTTGTGCTCATATGTGGAATACAGAGGAAGAAAGCAGAGGGTCAGCTACAAACAAGTCAGTAACAAGCCTGAGAAATATGACTGCAGAATGAATGCTACCAGCGGGGGCAGAGCCACGATGGGCTAAGATTTAGGACTACGGGCTCCTTGGTGGTGGGGGTGGTGCAGCATTTGTCTTCATGGGAGTGAGACTACACACTGGAACCATATACAATACCATTACCTCAACTAAATACAATTATTTTAAGGTTAACATTCAGATTAATTAATTAATACAGGTCATTTTCCATAACTAAAAAATATGTTAGCAGAAAAAAATTGGTATTTT